GTGTATGATGAGTGGTGTATGATGAGTGGTGTATGATGAGTGGTGTATGATGAGTGGTGTATGATGAGTGGTGGTTGAACAGCTGTTGAATGTCCGTAACACGGCAGTTTTGCACACTAAACTTCCTTTGACTAGCATGGTAGAATGCTCAGTGCAGATTTCACTTGCAGCTGGTTTCGAAGGTTCCACACTCTTGCTTTGGGGTTCTTGAGCTTTCGCGATTGGTAGCACTTGCAACTGCCAAACACACAGCAAGTCGAGATCTGGAACGTGATGCCCAGGAGCTGTCCTTAGGCAGTGTGCTGCATGGACACATGGAGCAGCACTGGTTGAAGACGCGGCAAGGGAAGGCCAAGCGTCATGACTCTTCAGGTGGGCTTTGTGGTGGGGATGTTGCAGAATCGGCGCGGATCGGCAGGCTGCCATGGGCGACCCACTCAAGGGCAAAGGTCCTCCGGCTTCATCCTTTTCCGATCCATGGAACTGATCGACTCTCATCGATCCAACCCACGACCTGCGACCCGCCGCGGCGTCGCCCGACCTGACGCACGGCCGGCTCCGGGAGGCCGGGAGTTCTTTCGATGTCTACCGGAGCGGCGCCTTGGCGGAGGACTTTCGGGGCTGCAGGGATTGGACAGGATTGGACATGTTCAACCCGTTGTTGAGGGTTGCCATCGCGGCGATTCGCCGCGACCGAGCACTCCGTCCCCCACACACATTTGTGTTGGCCCAGTTCACCTGTTGGTTGACTTCTTCCACAGCTTTCAGTCCCCTTTCGTCTGAAACAGAACCTTTCCGCCACTTCCGTGCACCTGCTTCCTTCCGTGCAACACACTTCCAGCGACTCCCAGGTTCGGATGGATTTTGGTGAATGGAGAACACCTGGGGCTGGGCGCTTTGTTGCAACCGCTCAGCGTCGACGACGGCTTCCTTCGGCGTGCCTTGGGCCAGATCGCTGGAGGTCGGTCATATCCGAACATCCGAAGGGGAGCAGTCCAGATTCCGAACCACAAGGTTCCAAAAAGACATGAATTACATTGAATTACTGATTTAGTGTGGGACATATAGTAATACACAATACAAACATACCAGGACCCTCCAAGGTGTGCCCAATGGAAGCCTCTAAATAGTGAGGGGTAGTCCATTGGACACCCCTTGGAGGGTTCAGGTACAAACATATATTAGATATGCACACACACGCTTCGACATTGGTTTTCAGTTAGCTCAATTTCCAGGAAAGTGGCGATGGAACGGAAAGGTGAGATGGTCAGCTCAATTGTATGGTTTTAACAATCTGTTGACATGTCTGCGGTGGCGAACGTCAGCGCGACTCAGCTGCAGGAAACGCGGCAAAGGAAGGTTTTAAGGGAGGTATCATGAGAACAACCATGAATCAAAAAGCGGAAAAGGAGGGTGACAGCTTGTGCAGCACTCTGCAGGTACATGGTTGAGCGTCCTCAACCACTTCCCTTCCAGTGACCCAGCTTCGTTGGATCAGGTTAGTCACTGGAAGCCTGATCCCCCTGCCTTGAACTAACCCTTCGAAACAGGGCTGGACACACACACGGTGCCGCTTGGCGGCGCTCGTGTGAGAAACCTGAATAGATACCTAAAAAGCCTTAGAAACGAAAAGAAAGACAGAAAGAGCAGCGCTAAGAGGGCAAGAGAGAAAGATAGGTGCAGAAAAAAGAAAAGTGAATACTTAGCCCTTGACTGGGGTAGGGAAACGAGCCTCAAGAGCCACCTAAAAAGCCTGAGAGAAAGCCCAACAAACGACGGAAAGCGCAAGAAAGAAAAGGGGGGGCAGGGAGGGGGTGTATGTCCATGTGTGTGTACGTGTGTGTGTTTGAATACCTAGTATAGGATTACTGACTACTTAGCCGAGACGAATTACAGTGCAATAGTTAGGGAGCGGGACTTTAGTCTTAAACCGCCCGGGTAGAGTAGACTAGAAAAGGGACAACAGAGGGAAAGGCACCGACACACAAGTGTGTCGAGTACCATATCCCTATGTTACCCTAATTAGGTAGGGAGTAGAACGCAGTGGGGAGGGGGGGTCGGGAGACCTGCCTCAAGTGGGGGGGGGAGGGAAAAACCGCTTTTAAGCCCGGCGGCTGGCAAATTCGCTTTTTAGCCCGTCGGCTGTATGAGCAGTGAATTCAGGGTAGAGAAAGATCGATGAGGAAAAGTCAATGAAAGAAAGATGATTCAGTGGCTCAATTTCCGGCATGCAAACGGCGCCTCCTTGCGGAGGATCACACCCAGCACCCACGTGGGACGGCTGAGCGGCTCACACTTCGACATTGGTTTTCAGTTAGCTCAATTTCCAGGAAAGTGGCGATGGAACGGAAAGGTGAGATGGTCAGCTCAATTGTATGGTTTTAACAATCTGTTGACATGTCTGCGGTGGCGAACGTCAGCGCGACTCAGCTGCAGGAAACGCGGCAAAGGAAGGTTTAAGGGAGGTATCATGAGAACAACCATGAATCAAAAAGCGGAAAAAAGGAGGGTGACAGCTTGTGAAGCACTCTGCAGGTACATGGTTGAGCGTCCTCAACCACTTCCCTTCCAGTGACCCAGCTTCGTTGGATCAGGTTAGTCACTGGAAGCCTGATCCCCCTGCCTTGAACTAACCCTTCGAAACAGGGCTGGACACACACACACACACTCTGACATTGGTTTTCAGTTAACTCAGTTGCCACGATGGGA